AGACCCCGTCTTAACGCATGAACAAGCAAAAGAATATAGAGCAACTACCACTTTCACTGGTAATGAAAAAACATTCTAAAGGAATCTGGCTGCTTCTAATAAAATCAATCAAATTTACTCCAATCCCATTGTGGTTCTAGGGACTCAGAAGAAATGAAAGCATTTGGCCACAAAAAAGACTCCTTAAGAATATGTATTCTGGCAGGGTGGTGGTGGTACATACCTTTGATTCCAGTACTTAGGAGGCAGAGACCTCTGAGTTCAAGGCCAGCCTGGTCTACATAGTGAGTTCCAGGACAGCCAGGGATACACAGAGAAACCCTGTCTCAAAACAAAACAAAAACAAACAAAAGCAAAAAGAATATATTTCCTTAGGGCAGAGAGATGACTCAAAAGTTAAGAATGCTTGCTGCTCTTTCAGATGACCTGAGTTTGGTATCTGGGACCCATAAACTCAAACTCAAAACCACCTTTAACTCTAGTTCGATGGGTGTGAGCCTCTACAAATCCTCCACGCATATGCATACGCCAACACACAGACACATAAAAATAAAGATAATTTTAGGAAGAATATGTATTTAATCAAGAGGTGATGGTGCACGCCTTTAATCCCAGCACTCTGGAGACAGAGTCAGGCAGATCTCTGAGTCCAAGTTCAGCATAGTCAACAGGACAGCCAGGACTACACAGAGAAACACTGTCTCTAAAAAACAAACAAACAAAAAACCCAAAACAGAATATATGTTTAAAGTAGCATCTGTTGCCCTTCATCAAGAGCAGAAGTCTATGTACACTGCATCTCCTAGGTCTTGAGCTCACTGAGGAAAACTCACACTCCAGCACCAGACAGAAGAGGGCGACATTACTCAAACAGAAGACAGCGCCATAGGTTTTGTTAGTAATTGGTGGATGGGATGGGGGATAGGCACCAAAGGTCTGCACAACCCTCTAGTGTGCACTGGAGATGGCCAGATGTGCTATGCAATGTACTCATATAGGCAGAAAAAAAAAAAAAAAGACCACACTGAGTCTGACAAGGAAAGCTACCTGTGAAAGGTGTTCATCACTCAGTTGAATGAGGTGGCTCATGCTGTAATCTCAACACCACTTTTAGTGAGTGAGGCAAGCAGACAGCAACAGGTTCAAGTTATTTGCTGGGCCATAATTATTTGAAGGTAGCTTGGACTACAGTGTGAAATTTTGCCTTAAACTAACAAGAGTCAAGTCTAGCCCTAGATGTGAGGGACTGTTTATCTGTAGGTGAGTGTTCTGTATTCCACTCGAGTGGGAGACAACACAGAATGCGTTTTTGCATGCCTCTCCCCACGTCACACAGCAGGCATACTCCTTCACCTGGTGTTCATTCAAGCAGCGTAGTAACACTTATCAAGACCCAAATCAGAGGTGGCACTCAAAAGTGAAGAAGGTACTTAGTATTCCCTTTGGGTGAATGCAGTGTGCTGTAAGTACAACACACACACACACACACACACACACACACACACACACCCCACAACGTTGAAAGTATACCAAATGATGGAGTGATAAGTACAACAACACAGATTTCAAAAGTGGCTTTTTTTTTTTTTTCTTTGAGACAGAGTTTCTTTGTAGCTTTGGAGCCTGTCTTGGCACTTGCTCTGTACCAGGCTGGCCTTGGCCTTGAACTCAGAGATCTGCCTGCCTGTGCCTCCCGAGTGCATGCACCACCACCACCTGGTTCACGTGGCATTTTTTTTAAAAGCAAGAAGTACGGTACATGTATCCATTTTATTATCAAATAATACTTAGATTATATATAGTGGCATAGGTCTTATGTCCAACTACTTGTGAAGCAGCCGCAGGTGGATCTCTGAGTTTGTGTTTGAATAGCTTCCAGGTCAGCCAGGGCTAAATAGTAAGAACCTGGAAAGAGGAGGGAGGGAGAAAAGAAAGGAGGTCATGTATAGGTCAGTGGTCACTAATCTGGTCTTGCTGTGGGAAAGTAATTCATAGTAACTTGACCTGGGTGTGAATAATGTTTGTCAAAATCAAGGCAGTATATATTGAACTCCAACCGAAATGTGGTTCAGTCCTTTTCTGTTAGCATAAAACCTGGGGTAAGTACAACACAGACAACTCAAAGTAAGAAGTTTACTAAGATGCGGAAATTCCGTTTAATTGGGAAAATCCCAGGGCGATGATGGAATCAACTGCTGTGAGCTGCTCAAGCGCAACAATCCCAGAGTCCCGAGGAGATTACTAGCTAGCTGGGGATTTTGAGCTCCCCATGCCCCACTGATGGTGGATGAGCTTTTGGCAAAACATCGCCGGGCAGAAGGACGATAGTGCCGTGACTCGGATTCGAACCGAGGTTGCTGCGGCCACAACGCAGAGTACTAACCACTATACGATCACGGCGAGCCACGAGCCCAGCGACAACTTTGTTGTGCTGGTGCTGTTGGCTCAGCCTCAGTTCCAAATCGCCTGGTCCTGCCCTGCTCTCCCGACCCGCGTAGGCAAGCTGCCCGCCACGCTGGGCATAGGTAAGCACCGAGCGGGAACTGGTCTCTGCTAGATTCCGGGGTTTCGGAACCACCAGTTCTGCAGTAGTGATTTCTCCCCGTTGCGTTAGCAGCGGCACCGAGTGCACGCGTCTGTGATTCAGTTGGGTGGTGAGGGCAGTTGCGAACTGTGACATTAATGTAGAGTTAAGATTGACCCAATACTCCAGTGCAGAGTCGGGTGTAGTAACACACACCTGTAACCCCAGCACTTGGAAGGTAAGAGGCAATAGGATTAGGGGTTGAAAGTCATCCCCAGGTACATATTGAGTGCCAGGGAGTCTGGGATACTGTCGAGAAAGAGAAAGGGAGGAGGAAGAGGAGGAGGCAGAAGCAGTAGCCACTAAATCAAAAGGCCACCAAAAAGACCAGGGTGTGAGAGCAGCTGATGCCATTAGGATGGCAAACTAATTATAATCATCTTCAGAGCCTCTGTGCTAGGTAATTTTATGTCAATGACACAAGCTATAGTCATCTGAGAGGAGGAAACTTCAATTAAGAAAATGCTTCCATAAGATTGGGTTGTAGACAAACCTGTATGGCATTTTCTTAATTAGTGATTGATGGAGGAGGGTCCAGTCCTTTGTGGGTGGTGCCATCTCTGGGCTGCCGGTCCTGGATTCTATAAGAAAACACGCTGATCAAGCCAGGGGAGCAAGCCAGTGTGCAGCACCCCTCCGTGGCCTCTGCATCAGATCCTGCCTCCAGGTTCCTGCCCAGTTTGAGCCCTGACTTCCTTCAAGGACAGACTATGACGTGGAAGTGTAAGCCGAATAAAGCCTTTCCCTCCTCAAGTTGCTTTGGTCATGGTGTTTCATCAGAGCAATAGAAACCCTGACTTTTTAGCTATTTTGAGCTTCACTGGAAAAGCAGGGTCTGGACTGTACAGGAAAACCCAAGTGACTTCTACCTGAAGCTTCTCTAAGAGTGTGAGTGTAGAGTTCTGAGGGACAAGAGGGGCTTCTCTAGGAGGATAAAGCCATCCCCTGGCCTTAAAGGAAAGGGGCCACTAAAGCTCAACCAAGAGATCTTGGCGTGTGGGAATTACTCTCCAATGATGGGTAAATAGGTAAAATGGAATAGATTCCAAGGTGGAAAGGTGCTAAATTGGGAGTTTCTGGGAAGAATAAAGTCACTGTATGTTTCTGAGGTTTTGTTTTCCTTCTTTGTTTGAAAAGGAACATTGGAACTAATGTCACCCATTTCCCCTCTCTCAACTCCTTTATCTCAAACTCAACAAAGACCACTCTCTGGGAGAGCCCAGAAGAACTTGCCTGTTGGAAGCCCTGTCTCTGGGGTCTTGTGAGTCAAGGAGAGGGCTCTTGTGCCTCACAGGACTATTTAAAAGTCGGCCAAAGGAAGACCAGGGGGAGGAGAGAGGCTGCTAAAAGGACTTTGCCTGACCGGGAATCGAACCCGGGCCGCGGCGGTGAAAGCGCCGAATCCTAGCCACTAGACCACCAGGGAGACATATGAGTCCCTCGATCGACCACTTGAAGCAAACTCCACAGAGGACACTTGACTCGCTTTCCAAAGCCGACAGGCCAGGCATGGAGCCCACCATCGTCATCTCTCCCATCCACTGCCCGGGTGAAACCAGCAGACAGCGGAGCGCATACGGAATCCATTCCGCTCCGGCCTTCGCACCAAGTGCGCCAGGATGACACATCTCTCCCTCCGAGTTTCGGGTTCCTCGTGGGTAAACTGTCGGTTTGACAGGGAGCACCCACCCCCACCCCGTCACCTCCAGCACTACAGCGCGCACGATCCGAAGACCTCCAGGGACGGATTGGGATCGCTCCTCTCACCGTGGGCTCCAGTCAGCCTGCTCCGCGGCTGTGCTCAGGGTGAGATCAAGGCGAATGGACCTCAGGAGGAAGACTCTCTTGGTTTTCAGACCCTGGACGCGGGTCAGCCGGGAGGGATTTAGGTGGAGGTGAAGGAGGTGGGATTCTGGATCTAACGCAGAGGAGAAGGGCGCGGGCTGCTGCGTCTTGGTCTCCAGCTCACTCATAGCGGGAAGCCATGTAGATTTCCGGGATAGTGGGAAGCTGCAGGTGGAAACCGCCTCTACGTTTGTGACCGCGTTTCCCGGACTCTTCCTTTAAGATTTTTGTTTTCTTTCTTTTTAAAGACAGGGTCTTGTCACCGCACCCCCGGTTGCGTTCCTTCGCTTTTCCTTTCTATTTCCATTTCTTTTGCCTCTTCTGTCTCCATTCTGTGTTCTCTTCCATAGAATTGTTTTTAAGAGAATGATGAGGAAGTGGTGGGGCGTGGTGGCGCACCCAAAGCTTTGATGCCAGCGGAGAAGCCCAAGAGGAGGCTGTCTGGTTCTCAGTTAACCTGGTCAGCATGGTGAGTTCTAAGCCAGCCAGGGTTACAGGGAGACCAAAACCAAAACCAAAACAAATAAACCAAAACAAAAACGAAAAAACTGCTCAGCGATTCAACACAAACTCCGGATGTCAGCCAGGAATAACTCTATTTAGGAAGAAACTGTAACTAAGGATCCAATGATAACTAGTCTCGCAGACGTGATGCGCCCCTCGCTTCCTCCTAAGCGTTGAGACACCACAGGGGACTCACCGAGCTGCCAGGGGCTCCACGACGACAGCGGCGCGACCGGGACCCCCAACAGGACTCGGCGAAGGAAACCGCGGGAGTTTTCGGGTCTAGGCCTTCGCAGATCCAGGGTACTCACGCGTGAAGGCCTGGTTTGGGGCTGGGGTGGGGCTGTGGACTGGAGCCTTGGAGCCGCTCTCTGCCTGGTCTGCGATCGCTGGAAAAGCTGAGGGGTCCGGGTGCGGTACTGGCGCTCAGGGAGGAGGAGCGAGTGGGAACCTGGAAGAGAGGGAACGCAAAGCGAGGATAGAACTCGGCAGAGGCTGGTGGAGCCCGAACCCCAGACCTGAGGAGACCGTGCCTGGCGAGGCTTCGCGAATGGGTTTCTGTGGACGCAGGAGGGCAGAAGAGCCAGCAGGGGAAGGAGCTACGGAACCCTTCACCTGTCTGAATTTTTAACTAAGTCGACGATCCTTACACTCACACACGAATATGCCGGGATCCTCAAGTTACTTCGTAGCTCTTAGCAATTTGCCTGTGACTCTGTGACTGCTGTTCGAATCCGAGACCTGGGAATGGGCTTTCTACGGAGCAACTGTGGTTTTCTTTCACTTTCCAATCCCCAAGTCACTGCTTCAATTACCAGCGACTACAGCGCGAGCATCACTCAGGACTACTGAAGCAGAAGAAAGTATGGAAACTGTCTGGTGCACACTCAAACAGGAGAACTTGGTATTGGTGTAATCAATCTCGCTGCCAAGTGCTCTAATGCCATGGTGTGGCCAGATTCGTTTTTTGGTTTTGTTTCTGTTTTGTTATCTCAGATATCTCGAGCCATATCGACTTCTAGGCCAAGTTTGAAATGAGATCTGAGTTCTTACTCCATGAGGTATTTTAAATAATCTTAACAATATACTAAAAATAAAAACCAAGACATTTCCCTTCACAGTGAGTGATTTGAGTATTAATTCATACCGATTGAAGAGCACGGGTAACCAGAGTGTAGCCTGATGAATTCTGACGAAACGAACCATCATCTCCTAGTTCAGATTATTTATTTTCAACAGGCCAGAAGTCCTTTCTTGTCATCCCAACCCCAAGCCGGGTTATACAATAACCATTTTGATTTCTCTGCCTGGGATGAACTTTTCTTACTCTTAGAATCCACATAAATGAGCGCCATAGCTTTTTGTCAGAGGGTTTGTGTTTTCAAGGCAACACCTTTCTTATATACATGATTTGTTTCAGGGGTGAGTGGCTGTTGGGCTGCTGCTTTGATGAGCATTTTCCCAGTATGTGAATGTGCCAGAGTCCTGCCACAGCCCTGTTTGGGTCTTGAGAAGGGGAAGGGGTCTCCAAGCAAAGAAATGAATTGTCTGACCATCAGTGAGTTTCACACAAGTGATGGGCCCAAATCGCCCCTGCCATCTTTATTTATACTTCAAAAACAAGCATGTTTTCCCATACTAACAAACATGTTTTTCTCACCCTCCAGTGTGAACCTTCAGCAAAAATGTCAAATATGTTTTTTCCCAACTTTTACATCAAAACATGCTTGTTTATTATATATTGTATTTTGTCTGCAAGTATCCCTGCAGGCCAAAGGAGGGCGCCAGTTTTCATTTTGGATGGTTGTGAGTCTCCAGGTTGTTTCTGGGAGTTGAACTCAAGACCTCTGTAAGAGCCCTCAATGCTCTTAACCACCGAGCCATCTTTCCAACCCTAAAAACATCTCTAAACCAAAACCAACACTTGACATTTTGCTAGCTTGGCCAAATATCAATCCAGATACATCCCGTCTTTACAAAACTGAAAGGTGACAAACATAAGCTCACAATCTCAAGAACAACAATATTGTTCAAAATTTAAAGCATATTTACAGAAATAGGGGTGATTTGCCTCTCATCCTGTCAGCACTGAATCAGGACAGCTGCTGGGGTCTGGAGAGACAGCTGCCATCCCCAGACAAGAAACCCAGGAAGCATCAGCTCCCAAACTATTTTAGGGGAAAATATTAGAGAAAAAAAAAATGGGATCTCCAGGAATGATCACATCTGTCCCATGTGTGACTGACAAAGTGACACAAAAAAACACCAAGAGAATCATCATTATTATGAGAGAGAAGAGATGGTGCAGGCCTTTCGGTCCCAGCAGTACTCTGCACTGTCTGGATGTCCACTGGTTCTTGCCGAGTGAGACTGTCCCTGTGGGCTTTGTCGCATCTGGAACAAGCACTCATATACTGGTCCGAAACTAGGCCACAGGGCTCCCAACAAGAATATCAATTCAATATCGATAGACAACTGGCTATGTTTTGTTGTGGCCACCAATTACAAGAGCATGGTCATCCTATTGGCCTGTCCTGGTTAGTTGGTTTTTTTTTTTTGTCAACTTGGCACAAGCTAGAGTTATCTAAGAGGAGGGACCTCAATCAAGGGAATGCCTCAGATGGACTTGGTGCCAACTTACCTTTCATGCTAGCACTCTGAAGGCAGAGGAAGGTGAGTCTGTGAGCTGTGAGGTTGTGGGTTCCAGGACAGCTGGGTCTACACAGTGAGACCCTGTCTCAAAGAAGTGAAAAGAATGAAAAGCAGGCAGGCCGAGCAAGTCCTGGGCACCAAGAGTAAGCAGTGGTCTTCCACAGCCCCTGCTTCACTTCCTGCCTTGGCTGCCTTCAATGAGATCCGGCTTTAAAAAATATGACAAATGAATATATGTCTAGGCTCGAGTCTAGAAGACTTCAGGAGTCGTGGGGCAGAGCTTCCTCATGTCATCAAGGAACAAACACTTCATTCTCCCAGGGTGCAAGCTTCCACTGTGTCTTCAGATCTCAGGGAGGCAGACACCTGACTGAACCCACACAAAACTGACCAAATTGAAAGGCATTAATATTGAGCATCAATGAAAATGAAGGCTTAAAAGGTGCTGGAGAAGCGTGCTCTGCAATGTGGAAATGCTGGAACTTTGTCGAGCAGCAATGCAATGGTCACCGTGTGGTCCACGCCATTTCAGGAAACTGGAACCAGATGGATGTAGGACTGATTATCCATTTTCCAGAAGCATGTGGTGGCAACAGTAAGGATTAAATTATGATTTAATTTAATTTAATTCACTTGGCTGAAGACAGAGTCTCTCTCCCCCTGGTTGTGCCAGCCGTAGCTATTGGTGTCCTGCTGTGGAACTTCTCAGGGCCACTAGATGTTAATAGAAGTGTGTGTGTCACATAATGCCAGAAGTATAATAACTCAGTTGATAAACATCTGAGCATCATCTTGCATCTTCTAATGTGCTGAATGTGGTCATGATTCTTTGTATGAGTAGATCTTTGTGAGAGAAAGAGGCACAAATTCTTTAAGTAGTAAAGGAGTTTATTTAGAGCAGATAATAGTTGCCACTGAGGCAACACACTTTTAGGCAGGCTCCAGTGTGCTCTTGTGCCCTAGGCTTCGAATGGAAAAGATTACACCAGTGGATTGTTAAACATTTAGATTGGGGCTGAGCTCCTGCCTTTTATCCCAGCACTCAGAAGACAGGAAGGCAGAGCTTTCGAGATCAGCCTGGTTTATAAGATTAGTCAGGGCTACATAGTAAAACTCTATCACAAAAACCAAAATGAACAAACAAAAAGAATTTAGGTTGTTTGTCTTTGACAACAGGAACCAATCCTATATAAAGCGTGGACATAAGGCAGCTCTTGGCAGGATGAATTCTGGAAATGCTTTAGGACTGGGTCCTTCCTCTCCACTGAAAACTGCAGCTGTTACCATGGAAGTGATAGGATTTGGCAAGCTGTTCAGAGTCAGTGTATTTGGCTGAGAGATGTGGCTATGTGTTCTGGAATCCCAGGTCAGGCATTTCAGTTGGGCAGCTCTCCAGTTGGAATCAGCCTGAGCTACATTATAAGACCCTGTTGCAATAATAATGATGACTCAAGTCAAGTTTATTTGCAAGTAGACAAGACAGAAACTCAGTTTTGTGTCCTCTTGGCCTGATTTTTCTGGCACCTAGCCGGCCTTATCTTCTGTTATTTCAACTTTTCCAAGTATGTTCCATACTTCGTTTGCACTAGGAATCCATATGACTTCCAGATTTGAACTAAAGATAGCAACTTTTGTTCCTTCACAGGCACAGAAAAACCTACAAGACATATTCAAAAGCAGAGAATTGTCCTTTTAAATAAGTAAGCATACTGAGAGACCAGAAGGCCTTAGGAATCTGCCACACAATCTTCATTCCTGGGACAGACATTGCTTCAGCTTTCCAACTTCTGAGGATGACAAAAGATTATATATTGCATTGGGACTTAGTATCTATGAAAGAAGATAAAAGAGGTATTAAATGTGTAAGTTGGGCTGCCATGTAGTTAACAAATGTGTACTGGAATCATATATTAGATGATTCTGAGAAATATTTATGCAGAAATTGCTGGTAAATTGATGGAAACACTATGCTTTCTAGAATTATAAGCTAATCTTGGTTTAAGTGATTTGATTTTAAATGAAAAGTATATTTAACTTACTTGATTCAAAATGATATTTCATAAACTTCATTGAAGTATGAATTGAAGTCTCCCCCTGCCAAGAAAAAGCTGTACCCATGTTAAAGGGTCTATAAGATTGACTGACCAGAATTTTGATTATACAGACCTGTCCCAAGTCAGATTACTCTGGGCTATCTTTAGCCTCTCCCTTAGAAAGCATCAGTTGCCTGACACTGTGTATGGCCTAATATCCTTGTGACTGACAGGTAAAATCATTTGGGAATGTATAAACAGATTCCTATCTTTCACCAGGCCTTGGGGCCAAGGATATCATCAGTTAGAATCTGGAGCCTACAGCAGACACTTTGGACTTTGCTGTAACCTACCTACCTGATGTTTTAGAAGAACCTTGATTTATGACTTTCTTCATTCTGTTACTATAAATACTTCATAAAACTGTTACTACACTGGGACACAGAGTCTGGGATAACTGAAATCTGTGCGGGGGGTGGGGGGGCACACACACTTGAGGCCATGATCAGATTAAAGTGCCTCTTACTGCCGTAGACTTGTGTTTTGGCATCAACAAAATGAAAACAGTCACCTATTTGTTTTGCTTTTTCAGGGGAGCAGGGATGTTGAGTGTTCAGCCTAAGACCTTACACACACCAAACATATGTTCTACCACAGACATAAATACCCAGCTCCTTTGTTCCTTTGACAGGTAAAATTGGTACAGTAAATTTAGCAAGTTCAGCGTAATTAGGACTTTGAATCTGAAATAAAGGCAGGACTTCTGTGAGCTAAGATGCCACCAGCAACTTCTACAAAATTAGGAAACCTAGAAATCACAATGGGATAGAGCCTAGGCCAGCGTGATGGCAATGGTATGATGCAGCCAAGGGGTCATTTAATTGAAACTAGAACACAGATTCACACCATCAAGTATTAAAAACTATTTTTAAGTGTTTAGAAAAGTTAAAATATATCTTTACTATCAACTTGCCTTATTGTTTTCTTATTAAGAGTAGCTGAGGCATCTTAGATGCCCGGGATGCACCTGGCTTGGAGTTATAGCTCACAGCTGCCTCTATGGATGCTGCGGACTGAGCTCAGGTCCTCTGCAAGAGCAGTTCTTGCTCTTAACTGCTGAGCCATCTCTCCAGCTCCCCTTTCTTTTCTTACAGATGACACTGAGATTCCCCAAAGTTAGAGACTGGGCAGGAAAAGACATGCAAAGGGGAAAGGCTCACCAGTGACAACAACCTTGGGCTCCACTGGGACCTGGGAACAGAAGCAGTGTTAAGTCTACAACCAGGAGAGGAACTTGAAAAGATCTGCCACACATCTGCCTGCCTGGACACAAACAGGAGGTGAGACCAGCTCAAGGGCGGCCCCTAATCACAAAATTCTAGAAACTTCATTCCTCTTCTTTTTTATTCATTTTCCACTTTCTGTTACTCTGCCAACAATGGAAGATGTTTCTTGTTTGTTTGTTTGTGTGACACAGGGTCTCTCTACATAGCCCTGGCTGTCCTGGTATTCACTCTGTAAAGCAGTCTGGCCTCAAACTCACATAGTTCTGCCTGTCTCTGACTCCCAAGTGCTGGGAGTAAAGGTGTGCACCACCATGCTGGCTTTGTCCACTCCCCTTAACTCTGTCACACTACCACGGGACACACAGAGGCAGGAAGGAGCAAAAGGCAAAGCTGCTTCCCTGAGGGCTTGCTCTCTTTTCTTGGGGTATGGCAGGGCACATACTGACCCAAGGCCCCACAGGAGAGCTAGGTATGAAGGCATGCATCTGTCAGCACTTCTAAGGTGGAGGAGGACTTGAATGAAGGCAACCCTCAGCTACATGGCGAGTTCCAGGGTAGCCAGTTTACACAAGACACAACCAGAGCAACCAGGGTGAGTAGGGAGGGCGGCTAATGCCATTAGGATGGCAAAATTAGAACATTCAGAGCTACACTGGACATGCCTGGCCTGGACTGTCCAGGAAAACCCCAATGACGTCGATCTGAGGTCTGGACCAAGTGGGTATTGAGTTCTGAGAAACAAGAGGGGCTTCTCTAGGAGGATAAAGCCATCCCCTGGCCTTAAAGGGAAAGGGGCCACTAAAGCTCAACCAAGAGATCTTGACGTGTGGGAATTACTCTCCAATGATGGGTAAATAGGTAAAATGGAATAGATTCCAAGGTGGAAAGGTGCTAAATTGGGAGTTTCTGGGAAGAATAGTCACTGTATGTTTCTGAGGTTTTGTTTTCCTTCTTTGTTTGAAAAAGAACATTGGATCTAATGCCACCCATTTCCCCTCTCTCAACTCCTTTATCTCAAACCCAACAAACACTCTGGGAGAGCCCAGAAGAACTTGCCTGTTGGAAGCCCTGTCTCTGGGGTCTTGTGAGTCAAGGAGAGAGGGCTCTTGTGCCTCACAGGACTATTTAAAAGTCGGCCAAAGGAAGACCAGAGGCTGCTATAAAAGGACTTTCCCTGACCGGGAATCGAACCCGGGCCGCGGCGGTGAAAGCGCCGAATCCTAGCCACTAGACCACCAGGGAGACTTATGAATACCCCAATTGACCACTTGAAGCAAACTCCACAGAGGACACTTGACTCGCTTTCTAAAGCCGACAGGTCAGGCATTGAGCCCACCATCGTCATCTCTCCCATCCACTGCCCGGGTGAAACCAGCAGACAGCGGAGCGCATACGGAATCCATTCCGTATGCACTCCTTCGCACCAAGTGCGCCAGGATGACACATCTCTCCCTCCGAGTTTCGGGTTCCTCGTGGGTAAACTGTCGGTTTGACAGGGAGCACCCACCCCCACCCCGTCACCTCCAGCACTACAGCGCGCACGATCCGAAGACCTCCAGGGACGGATTAGGATCGCTCCTCTCACCGTGGGCTCCAGTCAGCCTGCTCCGCGGCTGTGCTCAGGGTGAGATCAAGGCGTCCGCGGCTGTGCTCAGGGTGAGATCAAGGCGTCCGCGGCTGTGCTCAGGGTGAGATCAAGGCGAATGGACCTCAGGAGTCTCTTGGTTTTCAGACCCTGGACGCGGGTCAGCCGGGAGGGATTTAGGTGGAGGTGAAGGAGGTGGGATTCTGGATCTAACGCAGAGGAGAAGGGCGCGGGCTGCAGTGTCTTGGTCTCCAGCTCACTCACAGCAGGAAGCCTGATGGATCCCAGCGGGGAGCAGGACCTCTGTAGTGCTCCTTAACCTCCACATTCCCTTTCCACTCCCTCTCTTCCTGCCTCTTCCATGTTTGTCTCTTTTAGAAAATAATCGTCCTGTTCTGTTGTTGAGACAGGTCTCACTGTGTAGCCCTCACTGGTCTGGGACGCGCCTTGTAGACCAGGTTGGTCCTCCAGCTCAAGGAGCTCCGAATTCCTCTGCTTCCCGAGTGTAGTGACTAAAGCGTGCTCCACCTCCGCCCAGAAAGCCGTTTTTTTTGAGCGACTGTAACTGGTGGGATAGCTAACAAGGTCCTGTCCAGAGAGCTTGGAACATACGGAATACTGCTAAGGGCTTAGAGAACAAGCTGACGAAGTCCCTGGTGGATTTGTCACTAGGAAAGTCTTGTGTTGTATCCAGTGAGTGCAACTCTGGCTGCTCGCAAATCTCCAGCCACTGCGTGTCCGAGTTCTATAGCAGCAAAGTGTTCGCCAGTGGAAGCGTGAGCCAGAAGCCTGCCAGTTTTTCCCGAGCAGGAAGACTGCGGCCCTGACGGACCCCGGGCGGGCACCGAAGGAACCCCTCGCGGAGGGACCGCGCGTCCTCCTCCTTGCGATACCGTATCGAGGGACTCCCGCTCTGGCCTGAGGTCCCGAATGTCACGAATGTTTCCCGTTCCATAACGAAGCGGCCACATGCTTGCACCACACATCCCCGCTGACTCTCGGGCTCCCATCGCCGGAGGAATCGTCGGGTCTCGAGGTCCAAACCAAGCGGAACGGGGGCGGCCTATGACTGTGGACCCCGGGAGGCTGCCGGGGTTCCTTCGCGCGGAGTAGGACACGGTGCAAACTGCAGACGCCGTTGTCCTGGAGTTTTTCCGAGGATGAGCGCGTCCAGCAGCGAGAACCTAAGACGCCATTCTCTCCCTGTCATCCGCTCCTTGAATAGCTCTAGCACTTGGCAGACAGAGATTCCCACCATTTCTGGCCTGTTTCTTGTTTGTTTGTTTGTTTGTTTCACTACCTAATGAATAGTATCCAACTACACCTTGGTGATTTGACAGTGTAAATCCTACAGCACTTGGAGAAAGTCCACCAACCTAAATAGCCAATTGAAGCAAGTGTGTGTGTGTGTCAGAAGCAGAATATAAGCAAACAAGTTGGTCATAAAAAAACGTCCTGAAACAAAGGCCCGATGTCTTTTCCTGGAGGCGGCAGTGCAGAACTATTTGTAATTAAGGTTACAAGTGGTCACAGCTTAATCCTTGAAAAACAGAGATTTAGTCATAAACAGCAAAGAACCTAGTTTGTCTTTATTATAAACCGGCTTTTAACCCCAAGTTGGGGGCAGGCTGGTTTGTCAGCAGTCCTGTGGGAGAGCAATGACTTAGGGGCATTTGTCAGGTTTTAAAGGTCAGAATGAGAGACCAACAGGCTATGTCCCTGAGTACAAGATCGGAAAGAAAGGCATGGAGACAAAAGACCTGAAACCAATACCTGTGAAAACTGAAAAACAAAACAATTTTTAACTCAACAAAGCTGGTTCTTGGGAAAGATGGGTAATCTCTGTCTCTTGTCACTGCTCCTGTGTCTGTTTGACTGGGGCCTGACTTCTACCCCAAGCACATCCTTCTCTTTCTCAGCCTTGAGCCTTGATTTCGCCTCCTACTAATTCTTTCTGCCTGCCAGTCCCACTTATCCTCTCCCCCCTAGCTGTTGGACATTCAGGCTTTTTATTAGACCAATCAGGTGCCTCAGGCAGGCTAGGTGAAACAAATGCAACACATCCTTAAGCAATTAAACAAAGGTAACACACCTTTACACAGTTAAAGTGATATCCACAGCATAAACAAATGTAACAAATCTTTACATGGTTAAATATTCCACAACAGGCCAGCTCGCAACAGAAGCAAGAGAGATCTGACTCAACAAGTTGTTCTTTGACCTCCGCACTGTCACCTTGGCATGTATGTGCTCTCATTCCCATGTCACACACACACACAATGCACACACATGCTCACATATGTACACACACAGATTCAGACTCACTGTGAGGAATTGTCACAGCACACAGACTGAGTTCAAAATCTGCAGTAGGCTAGGTGGAGATACAGGAGAACTGATGGAATCATTCCCATCCCAGTTCAAGTCCACAGTGAAAAGATTGATTTCCCAGCTCAAGGATAGTCAAGCAGAGAGAACTTCTTTCTTGATCTTTATTTTATTCAGGCTTCAAGAGTTTGCTGAGGTTCATCTACTGTGGGGAGCACAGTGTGGTTTGTTCAATCTACTGACTCCGATGGTAAATGAATCCAGAAATGCTTACCTAAATATCAGTGCATCTTAGAGTCTAGTTTAATTGATAGATAAAATTAACTATCAGTGGCCTGGGGATGGTGCTGCATGCCTTTAATCCCAGCACTTGGGAGGCAGAGGCAGGAGGATCTCTTGAGTTGGAGGCCAGCTTGGTCTACAGAATGTGTTCCATGTCTCAAAGATAACCCTGTCTCAAAAGAAAACAATAAAAATTAACAAGGAAGGATCAAAATTTGGTGAAGGTTGGAAAGACTTGGGCTCTCAAGGGAAGAGAGAGGAGTAGCTTCTGATGGCTGGGAATGCCATGGCTGGTGCCTGAGCCCTGCTCTCAGAGAAGGAGAGGTGACTGCCCACCACTCCTGTTAACATTCCTTTGCTACTTGCTGGTTGTAAAGGTGCCCTCTGGTTGTAAAGATTCCACAGCCCAGGGGATAATTGACAGACCCTGTAACACCCCCCCCTCCCCGCAACCCCATGCCCTGTCTTATCTCAGTCAAATGTATCTCCCTTAAAATGTATAGTTACTAACTCTGTACTTTGTATGACCTTAAGTAACCATAGAAACTCTGTAAATTGTGGTCTTCAACTAAAGGACCCCAGCCTAAGATGTTTTCTTTGCAGACTGCAGTCAGCCACCTGAAAGGAGCCAATCAGAACTGTTACCCTCGCTCACCCCAGACCCCATCTGTTTGCAGTCTTTGCCTTTAAGAAGCCCCCAGCTCGGGGTCCAGCTCCTCTGCTCCTCTGCTCCTCTGCTCTTCTGCTCCTCTGCTCTGCTCCTATATTATTCAGTAACTGGGTCCTGGCGCCAGTTACTGAATAATATAGCCTCTTGTTGTTTGCATCAGGTTCTAGGCTCTGCTTGGTGACTGGGGTAGCTGCATTCCTGAGTGTTCACCCCAGGGTCCCACCCCATGGGGGTCTTTCACAATCACCAAAGCTCAGTTACTACGACTATTCAGTTTAGCATAACTTCACCTATTTAGCTAGCCTACATGATTTATTTATTACAGTATAACATGTACTTTGCCCTTGAAACAATGATGTCCAGGAATTATATTGACTGTGTGGTTAATTTTGACCTTATGAGGTCTCATCACACTCTTTATACATGAACTTATATTTAGATATATAAAACATACAGGAACCACATATGAGAGAAAACATATTAACATATAGGATACACATATGAGGGGAAATGTCACATTTGTCTTTCAGAGCCTGAGTTAATTCATTTACTATGGTTATCTCTAGGTGCATCCATTTTCCAGCAAACAACATATTTTCATTCTTTATAGATGAACAAAAAACCCATTTTGTAAGTATTAGAGAAAGATGCAGACAGAAAATTCTAGAACAAGTCCACCTGTGGCAGAGAAATGAAAAAAGAGATACCTGGAAGAAAAGTCACCTCCTGATGCCAATCTGCAGTGTCTTCCTTGAGCAGAAAGGAACACTCAGGAAAAGACATACCCAGAAGCTGCATGGGTGAACTGGGACTGACACCACATGGAAGACAGGCTTAGGTTCGAATGGCTGTGGTCTTCAGAGCAACCCCACTGAGGGGTCTACCTAGAAGAGTTCGCCTAACAAGCTGGACCGCTAAAAGAAAGAGCCATACAGGAGAGCAGCAAATAGAAGCCTGGGAGAGTGCTCTGGGAACTACCCTGCATTGTGATTGGCTCAGCCCAGGATAACTGCTCTTGTCCACATGGACCACGGTGTAGGTTCTACCTCAGAGCATGGCTTCCCCTAAAGGACAGGGAAGAACAGGAAGAAAGCCCATCTCTACAAAGGTCATATCTGAGCACTGATGTTGACCCCTTCCCAGGCTGAAGGAACAGCAAGAACACTTGATAGGTTTGCTGATGGAATATTCTGTTATTTTAGGCAGCCAAGGACCAGCAAGGATCTGGGTAGTACTTTAAAGAGGGTTCTGTGACATCATATATAACACTTGCAAATATTCCCTTCTTTTGTTTTGTTATGCCAGGTTTGTGGTACCCAAACGGACCTCCACAAGGAATGACACTCTGATGCAAAAGAAAAGGTTTCTTTATTTTCAAGCTGGCCAGCCAGGATCTTACTCCATCGGGAGGAAGTGTAACCCCAACCAGCAATTAAGGGTAGCTTTTAAAGGAAAAGACCATAAGGCTGAAAGCCACAAATTACAAAGTTTCCATGATTACTCAAGGTCATTACAAAGTACAAAGTAAAGCAAAAACAATATATTTTAGCAAGACACATTTGAGCATAATAGGGCAGGAGCCTGGGGTCATGAGTTTGCCAATTATCCCCTGGGCCAGGGGATTTTTTTACAACCGGAAATTAGCGGTTATCTGGTTTTCTCTAGGACAAAGGAATAATGACACAGATGGTGGTGAGCTAACTCTTTCTCTGAGAGTTGGGCTCAGGCTCCTAGTCATGTGCTCCCAGTTAGAGGGTCAAAATCTTTCTACCATCAGAAATTCCCTTTTTTCTCTGTGTAGGTTCAGCAGACCCAAGTCTTTAAACTTTTATTAATTTTAATTTTTGGTCTCTCGTTTTCTCATTGAACACAAATTCCCTGAGACACTGCATGTTTTCAAAGGGCAAGAAAAGCACAGTGACTGGAGTATCTCAGACAGGAGAATTTTCATTCACAGAGCCCACATACTTTCTGTCAAGAACACTGTAGAGTTTTCTGGGTGCCCACCAACTGTTGGGAAGGGGGAGTATTGGTCTCTTTGTTTATAGCAAACACCTTATATGCCAGATCAAAGAGCAAAGAGGAGAGGTGAGGAGCAAAAATGACAAGAACAATCAAAATTGGTCTTCCCTTTGGACAAGCAGTTTGACAGTGAACTATCCAAGAGCCAGACTGGCCAGTCTTCTTTGATCTGAGTGACCAGTTCATCACAGAAAACAATTAGCTTTTGGAGGACTCTAAGTGCCTTATTTCCACCCAAAATACGCTGTATAGTATCTGTGTGCCTGTGCACTGTGTGTGGTCCTCTGCTGTACCTCCCCCTGAGCCAAGCCCATGTGGCAACATTACCCTAGGTCAGCATTGGAGACAGCTGGGAGAAAGGTTGTTGTGTAGGCAAGAAAACAAGAAAGGAACATGGCTACAGTTGGGAACACCGGACCCCTGTAGAAGACACATTTGCAGAGTGGGCTCAGAGTAGAGCATGACATAAACACCATTATGTGACAATGGCAACACCCATCTCTTCACTGTGTGAGTCAGCAAGTGTATGCTCGATTTCATAACAGTTATGCTCACTTAAAGGCAGTTTTCTGGCCGGTGGGGATGGTGCACGCCTTTAATCCCAGCACTTGGGAGGCAGCGGCCTGTGAAGGACAAAAATTCAAATTAATAAAAGTTTAAAAACTTAGGGAACCTCTAATAATAAAGGTGTGATGGAGATCAGGGCAAAGCAGAGACAGCAAGCCGATTTCCCTTTAGGTCTAGAATCCTCAACTTTCAAGTGTCCGAACCCAAACAGGGAGTCAAAGGAAACCACCCTAAAAGCTTGTATCTGGAAATCCAGCAGAAAGACTGGTTCAAACTAGTTACAGTCAAGTGTGATGTTTCTTGCTTTTAATCTCATCACTGCTGCAGTGGAGGCAGAAGGATCAGACCAAGCTAACTGGTGAGAAATTTGTTTAAAAAACAAACTAGATAAAATGGTGGTGGCTACAGTATTAGTGCACGCTCCTGCACAATCAAAGATACTTCTGTAAATTTCCTTCTTGTCGGCGAGAAGAGTAGTCTATTGTTGACCCTGAAAGGGGTTGGGGGTGGCTTGAGGTGGTTTCTGTTTCCTAAGTGTCCTTGGTTAGCCCTTCAGTAAGGTAATGAAGGTATTATCAAAAGAAAGACTAACCGTC